ACAAAAAAACGAAGTCCAGATGACATGATTCAACCTTTTTTGTTGTTTACATACACTATTTAAAAAGATACATATACATTTTTTTCATACTGACGTGAAATCAGAATAAATGTTTTAGGTCAATTAGGATTACCACATTTTTTTCTATTTGTAAAATGCCAGAATAATGAGAGTGAGAATTTTTTAAGGCACTTTTTATTACTTTCTTCAAAGTCAAAAGTTTAAATACACTAAGATTACGATGACTTTAACCATTTTGGGACATTTGATGTCATGTCTTTGGAAGTTTCTGATAAGTTGATTGATAACATCTGAGTTAATTAGAGACACATCTGTGGATGTAATTTAAGGAACACCTGAAACACACTGCTTCCTTGTGTAACATCATGGGAAAGTCTAAAGAAATCAGCCAACATATCAGGAAGATAATTGTGGACTTGCACAAGTCTGGTTTGTCCTTGGGTGCAATTTCCAGATGTCTGAAGGTGCCTCTTTCATCTGTACTAACAATTATACACAACTGCAAGTACAAACAAGATGTGAATGTCCAGCCATCGTACTGCTCAGGAAGGAGATGTGTTCTGTGTCCCAGAGATGAACGTGCTTTGGACTGAAGTGTGCATATCAACCCAAGAACAAAAGCAAAAGATCTGGTGAAGATGCTGGCTGAAGCTGTAAGAGTGTGTCATTATCCACAGTGAAACGAGTACCGTACTGTATCGACATGGGCTGAAAGGCCACTCTGCCAGGAAAAAGCCATTACTTCAAAAGAAACATAAAAAAGCCAGATTAATGTTTGCAAAAGCACACAGGGACAAATACCTTACTTTTTGGAGACATGTCCTGTGGTCTGACAAAAGTAAAATTGAATTGTTTGTCCATAATGACCATCGTTACGTTTGGATGTAAAAGGGGAAGCTTGCAAGCCAGAAAACACCATCCCGATTGTGAAACACGGGGGTGGCAGCATGATGTTGTGAGGTTGTTTTGCTGCAAGAGGGACTGGTTCACTTCACAAAATAGATGGTATCATGACATGAAGAAAGAACATTATGTGGAAATACCGAAGCAACATCTCAAGACATCAGCCAGGAAGTTAAAGCTTGGGCGCAAATGGGTCTTCCTAATGGACAATGACCAGAAGCATACTGCCAAACTGGTTACAAAGTGGCTCAAGGATAGCAAAGTCAATGTTTTGGAGTGGCCAGCACAAAGCCCTGATCTCAATCCTATTGAAAATTTATGAGCAAAGCTGTAAAGGCATTAGAGCAAGGCAGCCTACAAACATGGCTCAGTTCTGTCAGGAGGAATGGGCCCAAATTCCTGCCAGCTGTTGTGAGGACCTTATGGAAAAATATACAAAACATTTGACCCAAGTCATACAGTTTAAGGTAATGGTTCCAAATACTAATGAAGTGTATTTAAGCTTTTGACTTTGAAGAAAGCAATAAAAATTACCTTAAAATTCGTACACATTATTCTGGCATTTCGCAAATAGATTTTTTTTAGTAATCCTAATTTACCTAAAATGGAAAAAGTTTATTGTGATTTCTTGTCAGACAGTGTGGGGAAAAAAATGCATGTCTTTTTAAATGATGTATGCAAACTTTTGGTTTAAACTATATATAGCTCAAAATTTTGTCAAAAGATCAGCTGATACATTTCTGAACTCCTTAACAGTATAGTCTTCTTATGCTGGATTAAAGTGGCAACTATCTACTTAAAAATAACATCACCTGGCGCTGATGGACTGGTTTCAGAATTTTGCAAATCCTTTGCAGAAGAACTAGCCAAATATTAACATTGATTTTCACAGGTGTTCAAATACTTATTTGCAGCAGTAACACACAAATAAATTATTTTAAAAATCATACATTGTGATTTCCAGATTTCCTCACTGTAGATTCAAGAAGAAATTAATATTAACTGGTTTTTTTTGCACATGTAGTGACAATGGATGGGTCGATACATAGATATCATACATGATGCAGCCTAGTATCAGCCTAGATACAGCCTACATAGTGCAGCAGCAATAAATAAAGCTGTCACAAGCTGTGTGACTTTATTCTCAATAACATTGAAGCAGATTTTGCACTTCTGCGGAAGAATGTGTTGCTTGGCCTTTTTGAAAAACGTATGCATAAAAACTATTCTGACAACTTTATAAACCTTTAACTGTTAGTGGCAAAATATCATATTCATTGTAGAAAACACTCTGGAAGGAAGCCAAGCTTTGCTGTTTTTTTTTTACAATGAGGTCAAGACAATTAAAGACTGATTAAAAAAAGGCACTAAAAACCATTGAGAAACCACAAGCCAAACATTTTTTCCTGTTTGTTTATTTTGTTTCTGTTTAGACTGATATCTTAATATGCACAACTTTTCTTCTATTTTAATGCGAGCCTTGTTTTGTAAACTGAAAATTTGTAGTTATTAAAAAGGGTTCTGCTGCCACCTAGTGTCTGCTTTGCAACACCGCACAAATGACACTAAATTTGCCTGATACTGTATTGACATATTTATAAAAATTGTCAAAGTATACTCCATGCACAAAATGAATAAAAATATTTAACAAACAAATAAATAAACAAAACGTCTGGATTCCACAAAGCAGAGAGACAACATTTCTCTGAAAAACGTACTTGAGTAATTATTATGTTTATGCTGATATGAACATCTTTTTTTTACCTCAGTCCCACATTTAAACCAGTACTGACATAAACACAAGAAATGAATGAAGTATAATTAAAAATATATCCATTTTAAAAAGAAAATCTCACTTATGGATCGTTTTGGTCAAAATCATTGTCAACCTTAATAGAATTAATTATTTTTTCCCTCATTAATTTGAGCATAAGTCACTTTTATATCCAGATATACACAAGTTAGTAGTAGCAGAAGTAATAAAAATGACAATGAAAATAAACTTTCTGATATGTTTTCCTAATTGTTTTGTTTATTTTAAGACACTGTTTAGCTTTAAAATAAATCAGTAAATTCAAGTGAACCACATCTGTATTAGAATATTTTAATACATTTCCCACAATAGTCATCAAACAAGTTTCATATGATAAAACTGCCACTGACTGATTTTTGTTTGCTTGTAAAAGCTTTTTCTTACCTAGATGCTGGTAAATTTTGCTTATGTATTTTAACCTTTTTTTTTTTTAAAGTTTTCTGAAGTATCTTTAGAAATTAAAAAAAAGTGTTATGTTTAGCTGCAAAAACAAGCAGCAGATAGACAAGGTGAGTCTGCATTGAATAAACATGCATCAGAGAAATTAAAAGTAAATTTATAGTTTAACTTCAGAAAGACTATCTCACAGCAACACAATTATTAATTATTGAGAATATTATTTTCTCTTTTATCACTTTCTGTCTTCTTACCTCATGGAATGACTCATGTTCTTTCTGCCAACATCTTATGAAATGAGGGGATTATTTCTTACAAAAAAAAACCCTTTCAGTCAGGGACTCTTGGTTGTTCAATCAAAAACATCATCTCATAATCTTTTGGATTTGAGTTGTGGCTGGACTTTAATTGTCCTGTATTTCTCAGTCTGGTAGACGTCTGACTCGATGTGTTCTCTGGAATCGTTCAGGGTTACGTACACGTCTCCATTGATTTCGGTGACTTTATGAATCCTTTGTTTGACACCTTTGGAGCGCCACTGAGTCCTCATTGGTCGGACTGTAGGATTCTCCACAGCTTGGTAAAGTCCTTCCCCTTCTACGAGTGTGATTTTGTATTTGTGCCATGGACACACAATGCACAGCCGTCCATTAAACTCCTAACACAAACGATGAGGAAGGCGTGTAAAACAGTAACAACCATAACAGCTTCAATAACAGTATTACAGGAAAATATACTAATCATTATCTATTTCACACAAAAAAAAGCTTGAAGTAACTGCATTTATTGTAAGCTTGAGAGCAGTTACTTTCTGTTATTGTGTCAAGTAACTGATGTATTTTATTAGACTTCATTTGAATGCATCAGATAACTCACCTCAATATCTCCCTCCTGTAAAGCACCACCGGAATCTGTCAATAGAAAAAAATTAAATACGACTTTACGAACAAGTATTTCAAGTATTTACTGACCTACTGCAGAAAACACACGCCACAATTTAACACACTCAGAGCTTACGGTAACAACGCATGTCCATTGCATGTAGCTGCCCCTGATGGTACAAGACCAGCACCTCTCTGCAGCCGTTCACAAGCTTGGTCACCCGCCGGGCTCCGACGATGTCCTTCTTCTTCCCAATGAAGTGCAAGGTAGGAGGAGATGAGGGTGAGCAGGAAGATGATGGAGAAGAGGATGTCTGGGGGGCCTCCTCTTCTGAGGACATGCCGACCACTTCTTAGAGATGACTTCCTATAAATAATTTGAATGACTTTTAGGAAAATTGTTTACTTTCTGTTAATTACTTGATTTTGTGTTTGATCTTGCTCATTTTTATAATTTCCTTGTTAATGTGCATTTTTAACTAAATTTACCCAGCAATAAACCAAAGACATCAAAGTCATAAATACAATAAAATCATACAATTATTATTTTACTAAATAAATAAAAAAAGAGTGCTGCCAATTAAAAACTGATAGCAAGGCTAAAATTGTTTTTTCCCCCCAGATGTTTCAGTGAGCAGAGGATTTCCCTGCAGGATTATTAATCTCCAGAAACATAACTGAGATTTTTTTAAGTGACACGTGTGTTAAAAAGGGAGAATTAGCAAAAACATAGAGACAAAAAGAAAAGCAAAACTATTTTGTGACTCTCAACAAAAATAGCTCAATTTTAGCTGAAATAATGTGTCAAATTCCTAAACCACCACTTTAAGATGTGCGTTAAAGGAGACAGGTTTTCTTGTAATTTTGAAAATTGATGCATATTTTAGGTTCTGTTAGATCATTGTTGTTTTGTTTGTTCATTTATTTCTTTAAAATGCTTGTCTAGTTTCGTTCTAAAGATTAAAAACACACTGCATTTATACCAGGTTCTTAGCTAAAAACTGTTTGTTAATCAACTTTACGTTGTTAAAATATAGTTCTGTACATCGTCTCTTATCTTTCTTTTGCATGATTTTATTTTGTATAATCATATAAATTAAAATTCAATTCAGTTTATTTATACAACACCCTCTAGCAAGTCATCTCAGGGCGCTGTAAAAAAAAAAAAAACATCACATACGGTACATTATAAAGTGCCAATTAGTAAAAGTTATATATCTAAGGAGCCAGAAGATTGTGTTGAATCTCCACATAAACAAGTAAATAATCTGACATTTTATTTTGTAATTAAACTTTTGACAACAATCTGTTTTGAGTTTATAATTAGGCAATTATTTTGAACGAGACTCCCTGGAAGAAAAAGTGTATCTAAATGAATCATTTGTGGCTAAATAAATGCAAAATACATAAAATATTATATTAATAGGGGCCGTCTAAAACTACAGTACCAACTAATGATCTCTTACCACATTAGTTATGCCTGAATAGGTCATACATAATGACTTTATGAACAAAAAGCCTTTCACTGTAAGACATTAAGATAAATACTGAACTGAAAATTATGTAAAAACAAGAAACGCACCAAGAAAAACTCTTAACTACTGTAACACATTTAAAACATGTAAAGTGTTCAAGACTAAATTCATATATTTAGTTACCCGAAAAAACAATTCATTGTTTTCTCCCTACAACCTTCATAGGAGCTTTCATGTTTCAAAAATCATTAAATAAATCTAAATATAGTTACCTGTTGTTGTCTCTGTCAGTGGCAGGTGTCTCTAAAAGTTAGCTGGTTGTCATGGCAGCAGGCCTCCGGAACAAGTTTATCTCACTAAAAATAACGACACGCGCGCGGACACACGCACATTGGTGCCTTATCTTGTGCATATACTGTACACTTACGAACAATTTTGACATGTATCACGAGATTATACCTAAACTTCACCTCGAGTTAGCCATACGGCGCTGGAGTTAGCCAGTTAGCAAGGAAGATGTGTGTTACTTTTATTACAGTCCCCACAAAAACACGAAGCGGAACCTTTGAACCTATTCCTTTTCTGTAATTTAACATCTTGAAATATATTACTGACTGGCGTTGAATTATTAACTATAGATAATTTGACGTGATGAAAAAGCTTAAATGAAATAACATTTATCCAAGCAAATACATATTTAAATTAATCTTAACTAAGTCAAAGTCAAATCAAGTCAAAGTCACTTTATTGTCAAAACTGCAATATGTACAGGACATACACAGGATTGAAATTACATTTCTCTCAGACCCCTGGTGCAACAGTAACAAACAATAACAACCATTTAACATTTAAAACATTTGATAAACATAAGCCTAAAATGAAATAATAAAAGTATGATACTGTCTTAAATTGTAGTATGGCGGTATAATTTTTTTTTTGAAAAAGTATATTTATAAAATAAAATGAAATGAAGTCAAGGTCCTGACATTGACATTTGTAGTAAGTGGCAAAGCAGCACATGAGGTGAATGTACACAGTATATGTATGAAGTCTTTGATATTGGTGTAGGAAAAGTGACATATGCAATAAGGCTAGTAAAAATATATATATCAACAGTAGTGTAATACAAACAGTAATGTGAATATAAACAGTGGTATGAATATAAACAGCAGTGTGAATATAAACAGTCTTATGAATATAAACAGTAGTGTAAATGTAAACAGTAGTGTGAATTTAAACAGTAGTGTGAATATAAACAGTGGTGTGACTATAAACAGTAGTATGAATATAAACTAAAGTATAAATCTAGCCTTTTAGAAGAAAGTACTGTACAGCATTTATTTGTAAGTGACATACAAATAAAGCCACTTTTGGAGATGGGTATGTTTTGAGTCATTATTACTATTTCTCATTTAATTGTGACATTGTTACCATAATTGTTACTGAAGTAAAACCAGTTTCTTAAATAAAAAAAAAATAAAAAAGTGTAAACCAAGTTTATATTAGAAATAAAACTGTTTTTCATGCCTTTGTAGTTTATTTTTTAGCTTTTATTCATTCATATTTTATTGATTTTTAGAGTTTCATTTAAAAATTTAGTTTGAATAAACTGTAAAGTTCTGTACTGTTGTTTCTCGTGCTGCAAAAATAAAATTCACATTTACACTTTCAGTTGAGGTTGTACAACTTAGAGTCTGTTTGCTTGGTAAAATGACCCTCTAAACACACTTTAATTGTGTAGTCCTGTTCAGTCTCATAAATAAACCAGTGGGGTGGACGGTTTAGTCTGAGGAAGCTTCTTACTGATGGGCATTAAGCCTTTGAAGGATTATCTCTAACTATAAAGCTCGAGTGGGTTTTATTTTGACCAGCTGTCCCACAAAATTTCAGCCTTTATTTCTGAATAACTTTAGTTAGTTAGTTTTTTTTAACAGAGGACCAGAGCTCGTGGGCAGCAGCGTCTCCATGGAAACCTATTTTGTATACGGAAATATCACTCAGGCGGACAACTTTGAGAAAAAATGTTTTTTGTCAAGTAAAGGTTACGTTCTCTTAAGTACCTTTTTGTTGTTGTTGATGCTGTTGTTGCTGTTGTTGTTGCTGAGAGTATTAGCTTTTTAAAAAACATTTTTTAAACTTGCATGCATGCTTGCCAATTCCTATGAAATATATGTAAAAAAAATGCCAACAGAATATACACAAAGTGCATTGTTTGCACAAGCCAAAAATTAGATGCTATTTAATTCTCTAAGTTCAAGATATTGGTTTGAAAAGGAAGAAATGGGTAAAGATGATGGATGGATGGATGGATGGATGGATGGATGGATGGATGGATGGATTGATGGATGGATATTCCAATATGGACATTTGTTTGGACTCACAATAAATTAATTTCCAAGTACTAATGGAGTCCTGACTGAATAAACTGTGGCTCAGCATGAAGGAACAGATCATTGTGCGTATCTCAATCTTGCCATATGGCAAAATTGTTGCAGCTGCAGAGAGATCTACAATAGACATGGACAGTTGCTTGTCCGTGTTGGCTATATTTATCATATTTGCCACAGCGGACAAATCTTTCATGACTGCATTTTGCTGCCCTATCTCTGTCATACACTAGTGTCAGATTTCACCACCGTCCTGGTATTCCCTGCTTTGCTTACCATCAACAGCACAGAGTTGTAGTGTTGACTCGGGGAGCAGTCATTATCCACAATCCTCTGTCAGATATTAACAGACAGTACAGTCTTGTGTTGTTAATTGTGTGTTTATTTACTTTTTTTTATGATATATGATGGACCAACTAAACTGACATGTCTGCCTGTCTTCATAGTTGCGGATCAAAACCTCAAGAAAAGACAGTGGAGGAAATGACCGTTTTCCTGTACGAGTGTCTGAGAGCTGCTGGGCTGCAGCATCATTATGACAGGTAAGTAGATACATTAAAAGTCAAATATTACCAGTGTTCTCCAGTAATACCTGTCCTTCTTGTCTTGTAGGTTTACCTTGGTGGGTGTTTGCCATGCAGCCCACCTTTCAGCTCTGAGGATGGAGGACTACCCCCTCCTGGGAGTTCACTCTATGCAGGACAGGACTCGACTTTTCCATCTTGTCCAACTAGTCAAAACTCTTGACCTTAAGAGACTTGTGAACGACAACGTCATGATTAACAGTGAAAATGTTCATGATGGAGGTGCTGAAAACGACTCTGCAGTGGATGGTAGATTCAGGCGTCAAAATCTTGATGAAGATTTGAGTGACGATCAGGATGAAAACAAAGCATTTGTGGGAAGTTCCAGCTTTGCTATTCCATCAAACGTTCGAAGACGGCTCGAGTTCAATGTTGAATCTTCTCATCCTGTTCATGTATATGCAAAACATAAAAATGGTCAGCCTGTTCGTGGAAAAGAATCAGCCACACCTATGCAACACAAGCTTTTAAGCAGAAAGTCTGTGCTAAATGCCCATCAGGACAGCAAAAACAATAAACTGGATGACCGTAAATGTCCACATGATTGTCAAAATGAAGAAAAGCTTCACATCACAAGAGAATCGCCTACGTTAAACTATTATGTTAGTTTACTAGAGAACAGTAAACCATCCCAAAGGCGTTACCCTAGGCCAGTGATGTCTAAAACATTTACCAACAAATTATTTGGACTGAACGACAGAAAAGGAATATCCAAGAGGAAAATTTCTTCTACAGGAACGACTAAGTCCATACCTGTTTATGAAGCAAAAAGAACAGCTGGATACAACTACGGACTCCCTCTGAGTTCTCCTCAGGCTCTAAACAAGTGAGCGTCCTGCTAATATTTTAGATTAGGGTTCATTACACTTGATTTGTTGCAGGTAGCATTTAGTAACCACCTGCAATCATTTTTCAGATATGAATAGCTTCATTTGGATTTGACTGATGTATTTTTTTCTGCGTGTGTGCGTCAGGCTCGTGGGAGTACAAAGGATTAGCGTGTGTGTGAGGAAAAGGCCTTTAACACGTGCTGAGTGCAGGAGAGGAGAGGCAGATGTTGTGACAACTCCAGGTGGAGACTGTGTGGTTGTCCACGAAAGCAAAGAAGCTGTGGATCTCACAGAGTACATCCTTCAGGTACAAACAAATCTGACAATTTGAATCCTAAAACAAAATTTTGTTAGGTTTTTTTTTTTTTTTTTTTTTTTTTATGGGGAAACTTTGTCGCACCCATATTTTCAGCTGTTCTTGTTTGTCTCTTGTAAATCTTCTCCTGCTGATTGGTTTGCAGCACAGGTTTTACTTTGACCATGTTTTTGGGGAGGAGAGCTCCAATGAAGAGGTGTATCAGAAAACAACATTTCCTCTGGTGCAGCACGTGCTCAATGGGTAGGTTGACTCAGATACAAAAGGTTTTAAACATAAGTTTTTGAGTGCTTTTGTTTGTGTATCCAGAGGGAAGGCCACCTGCTTTGCATACGGACAAACGGGTGCAGGGAAGACTTACACCATGCTAGGTTCATCTCCTGGAGGACCTGGGTTGTACGCTCTTGCAGCTCGGGATATTTTTGCTCAGCTGTCCACGACAGACCACCCAGCTCAACTAGTTTTCATCAGTTTCTTTGAAATCTACTGTGGTCAGCTGTATGACCTCTTGGACCACAGGAAAAGGTGCTGCTACTGTTGTTGTTTTATTATCCTGATTTTAATGTTTTACAGCTGTTTATTTTAGCTACATTCATGTTTTCTTTATTGGTTAGCTATTTTTTTCCACATTAAATAGTCACAATATTCTATCTTTAGTGTGCAGAGTTGTATTAAAGCTAACATATTGCTCTTGATATTTTCCTCCTCTCTTCCCTCTGAAGGTTATTTGCCAGAGAAGATGGACAGAAAGTGGTTCACATTTCAGGGCTGCGGAATATCAGAGTGGATTCTGTCAAATCGTTGTTGGAGGCATGCATTTTTATTTTATAAAACTGTTCACACATTTAATCTCTTGTATTTAGCACCCTAGTGTTGGACAATCATGCAGATTTTCTATTTAAAATTATAAGCCTTGTATTTCTAAAAAGAGAGAAATTGCCAAACAAAGTTTACTAAGTCTTCCTGGTTTGTGTAAATGTGTTCACATCCCAGCACCTTCATCAGCTGACTTTTAATTATGTTTATATTGTATTATATTGTATATACCGTATTTTCTGTCATACACGTCACACCACCGTATAAGTCGCATCAGTCCAAATATGGCTAATAAAGTGGGGAAAAAACATAAATAAGTCGCTTCTCCGTATAAGTAAAATTTATTATGCATCACTGCTGACCACCCGGAAACGTGGGCCAGTATTGTGCCAAAAATCAATTGGCTGCCAAAATGGCGGACGCGGGAGCGTGCACGGGAGGACTTTAACAAGAATTTAACAAGATTAAC